TTCAACTTTTTTTCTGCTATCACATTATACATACGGACGTTTTGAGTTTCACTAACTCTTCTTTTCTTTATCGTTTTTGATGCTAAAGCACTCTTGTTTGATATATCTTTTTGACTAATTTATTCTACATTTGTATCAATACATGGTGATTTATCTTTTGTTATCACTATCAGTCCTTTTCTCCTATTTTTCCTAGCCCTTGATTTCTCCATAATTTCTCTAGCTTTCTTTTCTAGATCCCAAGTTTTGTCAGTACTTATTTTTTCTATTGTTTTTCTTGCCTGCAATCCTTACTGTTCCACTTATCCTTCGAACATTATGTTCAACACTAGTGTCAATAAAAAATAGCTCATGTTTTTGGTCATTTCCTAAAGCTTCCTAAAGCTTTTACTATTATTTCAAGCACCTGGCCATTTTCATTTATATACCTACAATGCTTTAATCCTCTTAAAAGACTGTACATACCAAGTTTTTTTGTCATTTTTCTCTATTCCTTTGGTTTCTGCGGCAATTCTTACTATTTCATCTATCCTTTTGACTTGACTAATTTATTCTACAATTGTGTCAAACAAAGTACATTGTTATTTGATCATTTCCGTCCAACATTTCAATAATCTTCCCCATCTCTCTACTGTTTTTATCAAATCTCATTACTCTACCTCACAAGCTTTTTTTTAAGTCCTGCTTTCACTGTTGCAGTAGCAATCCTTTTTGATCAATTTATTCTACACTTGCATCAATTTAAAGCACTGTACACTTCATCTAATTTATATAACGATGCACGTCATCGGCGTCATAGCCTGTGACGTCACATGATACCAACCAACAATATTTAGGGTGTAGGTGTGTTCTTTTTTAGAATCACTTTACCGAGTACACTGACATTACAGCCACTAGACATATTTTATTATATACGCGTAGAAATCATATTTTAAAATTTCTATTTATGTTAACTTGAAGAAATACACAATATGTTTCATTTAATTTGTATAAATGCATTATAAAGCGTTTTTATCAAGAACATTTGTTCGGAACACACTGTAACTGTAATCGAACGAAGGTAAAAGTTTGGCATAAATTGGTAACACTTATTTGACAGTTGCGGTGTTGACACTTTTTGTACTTCATTATTTTGAATTTTAAAGTGAATATCTCTTGTTTTATATTTTTAACTATCTAATAAAATCTGTTCTTTTTAGAACAAAATTAGTGTGTTTTATTTCAAAAATGTCACGTAAGAATTTAAATAGTCGTTGTAAAGAGATGGTAATGCTTTTGCAATAATTATGTAATCTACTTGATTTAAAATGGAGTCAGGATTTTTTTATACTTTGGCAACTATGTCAACTTCGATCTCTGACGTAGATAATGACGTAAGTCGTTATCTAAATTAGATGAAGTATATGTTTTAATTATGGTTTTCTCCTATTATTCATAGACTGTTAGTTCCTTTGCCTTTATTTTTTTACCCCTTTCAGATTATGATACCTTCTACGCTTCCCTAGATGTTCCTACCTTTATTGTTGTTCCAGCAGTATTTATTATTCCATCTATTGTTTACAGAAATATGTTCTACACTTGTGTCAATACAAAAAATCCTATGTGTTATTTTTCATTCATTGACATTTTTCTCATATTAACTGGACATTTCCTTCATCTATGTTTCTTACATGACTGTACCTCACAATTATCTAGGTCATCCCTTCCCTACCGCCTTTGTTGTTTCAGCGATCCTTACTGTTCCATCTATCTACAGTGGCTCACAGCTTAAATGATGCAGTCGCTATTCAATAAAACTGGCTTGTGTCAAAATGCTCAATATGTATTAGAAAACAAATACTGAAATTAAATTACTAAGTCTTCTACAATAGAATAAGCTATTTTTTGGGTTTCAAATATACCATACTTAAATGACAATAAATATTTAGTTATTTTATGTATGATTTTGATGTCACAGCTGAAATTATGCAAACTTTAAAACAAGAAAATTAATAAATAAAACAAACTTTATCCCTTGAAAAATGATTGCTAACAGTTTGTAAATCTTCCTTCATTATTAATTACAGTCTGCAATAGTCTAGGCGTCGATTCAATCAATTTTCTAGTATACTCTAGGGAAATTGTGTCCCAAGCATCAGTAATTTTTACTTTCATTTCTATTTGATATTGGGGTATTTACTTTATTTTTTAATGCCAACCACAAATTTTCAATACCGTTAATATCTGGTGACTGAACTGGTGTTTTAATGACATTTTGACAATTATAAAGCAACCGAGTATGAACCTGATATGACATGTGTTTTGTCCTAATAAAACCGGTAATTGTTATTAATACTTTTATTTACCATTTTGGATGTCTCTTTGGCTATTTCCATGTCTATTATGAGTAATAATTAAATTTTTTTCACTAATCGTAGTTGGGTGACCAATTCTTAAATAATTTTGTTATTTGCTAATTAAATCTTTTAAATGCCAAATTAAACATAAAATGAACTGCATATGAATTTAATGCAACACCTACTTCGCAAATTTCAAATTGATAAGTTGTGTAGTGCTTCATCATATCTGCATCATTTTAGCTGTGATCTCAAAATCATACAAAAAATAATTAACTATTTATTGTTATTTAAGCCTGGTCTATTTGAAACTCAAAAAATAGCTTATGCTATTGTAGAAGACTTATAGTAATTTAATTTCAGTATGTAATTTTTTTCTAATAAATATTGAGCCACTGACACAAGGTAGTGTCATTGAGTAGCAACTGTATCATTTAAGCTGTGAGCCACTGTATATACTACTTTGTTCTATACTCATGTCAATACCATTTTCGCCATCATCTCAGTGAGTGTCTTTCTTCAGTTCTTTTTATAAATGAATGTTTTAATTTATTTGTATTATTTCATGACTCAGTGTAAAAGACACTTTCTTTACACAGATTAGTGCTATCAACTTTAGATCACTATTTGGTCTAATCTCATTTCTTTCCTGTGTTAGAATATTGCAGCCAACTTAGGACAAATACAAAAGTTAAAATATATCAAAAGCATTAGTCAGCATAAGTAAAGTGTAACACCTTTGTTCTAATATCTTGTTCTTTGGATACCATTGCTTCAGGTTTGATACAGCTCTTGAGCTCTTTGAGTATTTAAGGTTGTACTGCTTTTACAAGAAGCTTTCTTTAAAATCAATATAGGACAAGAGAACTATTTTTAACAATTTATTGCTACACTTTCTGCTAGATACCAGCATAATAGTCGAACAAGGCATTATAGGTCACTAGTTATAATCACAATTTGAGGTTTTGCAATATAGATTCCATGTACAAAGGAGTGATCACAAATATATTTCTCATCTGTCGCTTTCATTATAATATCTTCATCCCATTTGAATGACACAAATTCTATCATTTTCAAGTCATTCTATTGTAAGTTAGGTGATAGTATTTTTATATCTCTACGAAATTGACCACATTTATTTTATGTTAAAATAAGAACCCCTACCAATTGTGAAGTCTTAATCTTGTTTTTCAACAGGAAATTGGCTAATGATAACACCAACTGAAACAACATTGCATATCTCAACAAACTGTACATAAGAAAATTTGCTACATAGTAATATCAATCTGGCTTAGACATTAATGTTAAATCCATAATACAGTCAAGAAAAAAATTTAATGTATATTAAACAAAAAAACATGTACAACCTTTTAATAAATAATTCACTTTGAACTAATTCAACAACATATTACTACAGTTCCCCTTTATCTAGGAACAAAAAAAACCTCAAAAATCAAGAAATAAAGATACATTTGTCAGTTTTCAAAACAGTTTATAGGAATCTTGAACATCACAATATCATAATACTTCAAATAAAGACAAAAGAAATTTGAATCACTCTGTATAAAGAAATATAACACTGTAAAGTCTTCACGGCCTCTTTATATACAGGAAGAAAATCCGAGAAAATTCGCATACATTTCAGAGTTGGACATGTAGTAAACAATACGTCATGTTGCCTTGTCCTACTTATAACAAGTCTTGAGTGTGCAGTCAAAATACCTATCATACTGGCTTCAAACAAACAAATAAATAAAAAAATACAAAGTTAGAAATGTTTTTCAATGGCGCGAAAAACTTTAAAGGGCAATAACCCGTTTGAAGATCGATGACACAAACAACATCCACGCAAGGGCGCATTCCCTATTTTACAAAATGTCCCGCCATTCATATATTCTCATTTTATATTTCAAACGCCATATTGTAAAAGAAATTGTAAACAACTGCCAACGTTTGCATGCCTTTATTTATTTATAAGATAAAAGTTAGCCACACTCATAAGGCTTCCAGAAGATATTGATCAAATAAACAAAGATATTGACATGGAACTACTTTCTGGTCAACAGGTTGAAAAAGTACTTTTTTAAAATGACGAATTAATGTAACACATAGTCAAACAATGCACGAATTTTCAAAAGTAATAAATAAACAATTATTCAATGAATCTTGGATTCTTAAAAATTTTTAGAACAATTATTGTTGTCTTACAACACCTTTATTATGGATTTCTGATTAGCAATACACGCCGTCCTTCTAGATATCTTTCACTTCAGATAAGAAAAAGAAATATGTCCGCAATATTATCATCTTTCGTAACGCCAAAATGAGAATGAAAATAACAAGATACGGTGAACACACAATTTTAACAAAACAACTTTCCAATAAGTTTGAAAAATGTGTGTTGAATGTCACGTATTCAACAGCCATTTAAGCATTTTCATATTTAGTCAGTACAAAATCGCATTCGGGCTCGATTTTTCTATAAATGATTGTTCGAACAATCATAATTTCAAGTTTAATTACTGATAGACAAAATATTAAATGAAAGTAATAGAAAGCGTTTACCGGTCGTGTGGTACTCAAAGAAAAATGGAGTTGCATGACGCCGATGAAATATAACTTGTTATATATTAAATAGAGAGCGAATGTTAATGACAACCTTACCTTATGAATTTATTAAGAAAGTAGCACTATAATTCACTGAATTTAGCAAAAGGTTTTGTTATTAGAATCAAAAATACTTGTGAAATTCACAAAAATACAGACACACCAACACAACAGATGACGGCTGAAATTTTTAGTGTCGATTGCGCATTGTCTCACGCAGATTCACAGCGCATGTTATTTAGAAGACGCTTGAAGCGGTTTAGTCCCTATATTTGTAATTTTGATCGACGATTTCAGCGAATTTCTATCAACATGCTACATAAAATCTTCATGATAATGTTCTAGATTACATATATTTTAAAATAACACAATCAATGTAAAGTTTCAGGTTTTAGTTATTTAAATCTATGAACACTGTGAAGCCGCGTACATTGTGACCAATTATGCTTGAGTACGCATATCACGTGACAAAAGGCCAGTTCTTGATTGATTAGAGAAATGTCGCTAAACTACTATTCGATACCTTGATCAACTTGAAAGAATTGTTTACAGAAGATTCTTCATCTTTTTTCATTTGACATTTTGAATCAAAATATAACCTCTAAATGGATTTTTGTGTATGTGTCAAGAAAAAACGTCAATTAATATCTGTAAATAATTTTTAAATTGAAATTAAATTTTAAAATATGAGCGTGGAAAAGGATAACGAAAAGGAACATGTTCTATCAAAAAGACTGAATAAAATTATACAAGCTAGAATAGAAAATGACGAAGTAAGCTGTAATTTTACACTACCAATGTTCTTTTATTTGTTAATACTAAAAGTTGTAAAACTTACCAAATTTCCAAAGTAGACACGTCTTACAAGTTTTTAATATTTATTTTAAAATTAGTAATCATTTAAAAATCAATAGCAGATTAACATATATCAATTACTCATTGAGATGCAGAATAAGCAACAAATTTTTTGATGTTCTTCACCAAAAGCTTCTTGACAATATTAATATTGATTAATTTTTTTAGCTGGGAAAAATTGGTTAACCGTTGTGTTTTATCTAGTATAGGTGTTCATTCTGAGAAAACTGCTACATGTAAACTGTGCCCATAAAATAAACTTATCGATTTATTAAATTTTTGCTCATGTTTCAGAAGTGTCTTTATGAATGGCTTAAATGAACAGAATTAATTTTGTTCTAGTGATTGCTGTCCAACCTTTTTTGTTTTTATTATTTTGAATAATCCTTCAGTTATAACTGCCATATTATTTAATGCATAAAATAATCTTATAAGAAATTTTCGTGATACTGACGACACAATCCCATTCCTATTCATTTGGTTGAATGGGTCTACATCAAATTTTGCTCTATTTCTAGTATGTCATAATTATTTCCTGATTTATTTTTTACATTGGTTAGAGTTCCAGGTTGAATGTTACATTGCTTCATCCTATTTTTAGGAAACTGTTAATGCTTTTAAACAGTTATCAACTTTCTATACAGAAAACAGTTTGCAAGCTCGTAGAAACTTAAGAAGTCAAATAGAAAAAAGAAGTTTGGATGTGAACAAACAATTCTTGAGATCATTCCAAGAAGTAAAGCATGCCTTTGATTCAATTTACAATGATATTGCAGACATGAGTAAGTCCATACAGGATATGGAAAGTAGGTTACAAAGTACAAAATCCAGAACTAAGCATTTGCTGCAACAAACTAGTGTGCTGCAAAATGAAAGGTATGTAGAGTTTATGTTACATTCATGATCTCATATTTTATTATTTGGTATTATTTTGTGTTGGGATTTTCCCATACCCCTATTCAGAAATTCATTATGGTTGTAGTTAAATTTTTGTGTTGTCTCTTTTAGTTGTTTAGGTAGAAGTATGTACAGTTCAACACTAGTAGTAGTAAAAATAGTCAACTTATATATTAAATGTTATTTTCAGAGAAAGAAGCATCAACCAACAGAAGATTGTCAATGTTCTCCTAGAAAGATTTCAACTATCTTCAGAACAACTCTATATTATTCAAGGAAATAAGGAGTTTTTGTTAACTCCTGAAATATTTAATGTACTAGATAAGATTCAAGATATTCGTAATGATTGTAAAATACTGATGCAGTCTGGTCTTCAAACTTTGGCTTTGGATATTATGGAGCAAATGACCACATATCAGGTACAACTTTTTGTTTTTTACTCACCTAAAGGTAGATGGTCTTAAAACAGTAATGCCTTAAATGGAGTGAGATTGGTATGGCTTAAATTTGGATAATAAAGAGGTATTTAAAAAGGTGTTCATAAAACACTTATTGAACACAGTGAATGTAAATAATATTATTTTCTGAAGATGATATAACTGTATATGTAAATGTTTCAATCAAGGTCACATTTTTCAGGAGGCAGGTTTGGAAAAATTATATAGATGGACCCAAAGTCACTGTAGAAATGTTGAAAACCCTGAATTGACAGATCTAGTTACTCAATCAATGGCAAGGCTTCAACACAGACAAGTTTTGTTTAAGTAAGTACTAAATTTAGATCATTAATTTGGATTGAAATAAAATTAATAATAAAAAATAAGCCCTTTAGTTTTTGGACTTTTTGATTACTAAGTTGGCATTTGAATAGTATACCAAGTGGATGATGTTTTATTATAATTAAGGAAAGGTATCCATGTGAAAGGCAACTGTGTGCCGTCATTTATTTTATTTAGACAATTCGTGCATTTTTTTTAATTCCTATGGCCTTTGAGATATTTGCTGTATAGAAATGGAAAAACCTTAAAAAATTGATGGTAAGACACTATGGGACAGAGCTAGAAGTACAGATATATGGCATAGATGCAATTTGTAGGACATCAAAAACTGGGTAAGAAATAGAAGAGTAGAATGGAACAATCATATAAGCCGAATGACAACAAATAGAGTAGTAAAGACGGCAAGAGACCATTCCCCAATAGGAAGACAATCAGTAGGAAGGCCACGAAAACAATGGAATGACGACTTACTGGAGGCACATTGAAAAACATACAGAGTCATGTCTATATAAAAAGAAGAGGAGGAAGAAGAAGAAGTATAGAAATGGATGCAGGCTATAATTCTGGATTTTCAGGAAAATTTCAATTAAGTCTCTTTCAATTGCTTCCATCTCTGTCCTATGCCAATCTAATCTTGTTTGTAATGGGTTTCACGCTAAGGGAAATGATCACTAATTCATATTGGTAGTATACAAGCATTGTATACTCCCCATTTGTATTTGATATATTTGTCTGTTTTTGGTTCATTATTTTTGTTTTAGTTTATTTTTGTGTCCCAGATACTCCCTTTAGTTAACCTTTCTTTCAATTCTTGAATATTATTTGATATTAGGACTATACCATCAGCAAATCTGAAGTAGTTTAAGTGTGTGTCCGAACCGGTATGAACCGCCGATAACATCGCCAGACGAAATAAAGATGGACATTCTGGTTAGTTTTTAAATATTTTTGAAGAACTGTTACTTGCATTTATGCATAAAATATTCATTAATTTTATAAATCGGAGTATTTTTTCACTTACTTTGTATTCAGTGATAACATTAATTTATTTACTATGCAATAAACACGAATATTTGAGAAAAGAAAAAAAATAATAAAGTGTCATAATTATACTGTTACTTATCGGAACGAGTAGACTCATTTAGAACATCTTTAACAATTATCTGTTAAATTTATCGTTGTTTATATGCCCTGCACCGCTTAATCGAATAAGGTATAGTAAACGACCGTTTTGTAGTATAATTTTTCTCATCTCGATGGATTTGCCTGAAAATTTGGATTTAGGTTCCTCTTACCCTCTAATTCACTTTTGAACTTGAACCCATGAATGCTTTTACTTGGGGAGTGAAAGCCACCCCTTCTTGAGGTTAAAAAAAACACACATTTAAAATAAGTCTGAAAATGGATAAATTGACTGATTCTAAGCAACTTTTGTTCTATAATGTTTTTTCACTAAATCAATCTTTTTTGAGTTATTTGCGAGTGAAAATGTAAATTTTTCAAAATAAAAACCACATTTACAGACGGTTTCTCACAAATAACTCAAAAATAAGTATTTTATTGAAAAAAAGATTCTCAGCACAAATATAGCTTATAAAAAAAAACAAAAAAAAAACGGTGCACTTATGTGTTGACTCAGTAGAAGCAGAGTTGTAGCTCATGAAAAGTAGATTCTTATTTGTCAAATTCTAAATCAAATATTTCAACATAAAGGAACCATAAAATGAAGCGCTTTTCAGAGAAAACTCATCAAAACTTTTTGAAAATGTTTAAAAAAAGCTTTTTTTCTAACATCAAAACTACCAAGTTATGCTCAAAATAAAGTTGGTCCCTTCTTTTTGGTAAAAACATAGTGAAAATCACCGATAATTGGCACACCAAATGAAATTAATTGTTTTGACTTTACAATTTACTTTTTTATGTATTGTTTATATGATCTGTAAGATTGACAGGTTTAAAGTGCTTATTTTTGAATGGGTATTTGGTTTTAAAGTAATTTTTTTTTTATTTAAAAAATACACTTTTTTCAAAATAAGTATTAGTGCTCTTTTCTAAACCTTTTTGGTTTGCATCTGGGCTCCCAGAAAGCTTCACTTGTACATTGTTCACTTGTACACTGCAATACTGCTGCTTAGGACAGGGGAGAGTCCATTTATACCATCAATGGTAACATAGTTCACCGTCGTGTGTTTGGTTGAGAACTCTCGCCAAGATTCTTAACTGCGGAAGCTGGATTGGTGAAAGTAGCGACGATTACGATTGACGAGAGATCTTCGTATTGAAGATAACGTGCCCAAGTTCTGCATAGTTTTAATTTAGCTCTGGGACTATTTCTGTTCCATCAGTTACTTTTATTCTGGTTTGAGCTTTGTTTTCAAATATTTGCGTTAAGTCTCCCATAGCTAGGATATTGGTACATTTATTTTCTTCAATGGCTTCAGATGTCTCCCTAAAATCTTCCATTTTCTCATCATTGTAAGATATGTCAGATATTTGACAATTCCGAGCTTTTGATTTCTGCAGATATATTTATGTTTATTACCTGATCTTCTAGTAATTTGATTGGTATAAATTGCATTGTCCTTTCTAACTTCCTTTTTTACTTTCATTTTATAGTTTTGAAGCTGTCTGCTGTTTGATCTGTTTGCTTTATTTGATTAACTTTATGGTATTGGGATGAAGATAGATATTTTGGATGTTTTTATATTTGAGCACACTTTTCCAACCGAAGTTTTCATGGTTCGAGGTTTAGTTAAGGGGTCTATGAGTGTTAGTTCATACAGATATTAAATAATAATTAATTATGGGTAAATACCTTCTTCTGATTTAATCATAAAAATCAAGATTCAACAAATCTGTCTCGAGATAGGACTCGCCCCCAGCTCTCTCTGACGTTTTTTTACGATTCTTCGACCGAATGAATATGCCGTCGGAAATTGATCACTCGGAGTTTATTCATTCTGTGCGCTTTTTCTTGACTGTAAATATATTATAACAAATATGTATTTTTAGATATGTAATAGATGAATACTGCATATGTCGCAGAAGCAAGATAACCGATGATTTTATCAACGCTCTAACACGAGGCGGACCATCTGGCAATCCTGCACCTATAGAAATGAGAGCTCACGATTCTCAGATCTATGTCACAGACATGCTGGTTTGGTTGAACAAAGCGATTGCTTTGGAAAAGCAGAATGTTAGTTTATTGTTGAAATTGTGCAATAAAGTAGGTAAGTAACTTCAGTGAAAGTCAAATAGCACCATTTGAAAACATTTTCTTACTCCTCTGTACATGTTTGGTTTCAATATTTCTTATCCCCGGGCATTTGTCTGGTGTATTTTCCTTGTATTTATCTTTTTTAATCCGAATTGATCTGCTGGCTGCCTACCAACTGCATTTGTACTATCGCTATTTGTTAATAAATAGTGTAAGTTTTGAGAATTTCACGTTTTTATTATAAAGTTTAAAACAATAGCGATACACAAATATATTTTTAAATTGTCTTTATTCTTCGAAAGCTTGTAGTGGACTGTGTCTTTTCTCGGTGAGTGGGGGAGCAACCCGCACCCCTCGTACCATCGTCTGGAATTCGGAACAGGTCCGGTTTGGCACTAACATAGAGTCCCGGCCTTGAAGCACTGTAGGGGTTCGAAAGAAAATAAACTAATTCGGCAATACACAAATTTTGGTCACGGAACGTTTCAATTCACTTGTAGAAGTCCTCACTGTGACGGCACGAATAACTTGATCGTCACCAGTATGTAGTTGGGAAATTCGTCCTAATTTCCATTTTAGTGGTGGGATTCCATCTTCTTAATAAGGACCATAGCGCCAATGTTAATTAATTGTGGAAAATTGGTCTTCCACTTGATACGGGCTTGTAAGGAGGATACATATTCCTTGGACCACCTAGTCCAAAAATGCTGCACCATTGACTGTAGTCGTTGAAACCTTGAAAGTCGGTTTTCGGCCAGATCAAGTATCTGGCTATCAGGTGGCGCCATCAGGTTGTCTCCAATCAGAAAGTGTGCGGGTGTAAGAGGAGTTAGGTCATTGGGATCATGAGAGAGAGGACAAAGAGGACGAGAATTAAGGCAGGCCTCTATCTGACACAATACTGTATTAAATTCTTCAAAAGTTAGTAAAGCATTGCCCATTACCCTTTTTAAATGTTGTTTTGTGGATTTAATTCCAGACTCCCAAAGACCCCCAAAATGGGGAGATTTGGGAGGTATAAACTTCCACTGAATACCATCTTGTGATAAACCATTTGCGATGCTATTCGCGCGAGAAGAAAGAAATGTGGTTAATTCGTTGTTAGCTCCTACAAATGTAGTCGCGTTGTCAGAATGTATTTCATTGCATTTACCACGTCTCGAAGTGAAACGACGTAGACATGCTAGGAAGCACTCAGTTGTGAGATCGCTGACTACCTCTAAGTGGATAGCCTTAGTGGCGAAGCACACGAAAAGTGAAACGTAAGCTTTAGTTGTTTTGAAATTTCTACCCTTTCGATCACGCAGTAGAAATGGACCAGCATAGTCTAATCCAGTTATCGAAAAAGGCCGAGAGGGAGTGACACGAGAAGCAGGAAGATTTCCCATGAGGTGTGACTCAGGTCTGGGATTTACCTTAAAACATTGTATACATTCACGAACCACACGTTTTACCAGGTTGCGTCCCCCTAGAGGCCAAAATCTCTCTCTCAAAGCTGATAAGAGAGCTTGTGGTCCGGTATGTAAAAGTCTAATGTGTTCAGAACGTGCTATAATGGTTGTAAGGTGACATTTTGAAGGGAGAATAATTGGGTGTCTTTTACCAAAATCAAAATTGGAATGTTGTAGTCGACCTCCAACACGTATTACATTGTGTGTAGTGTCGAAGAAAGGATGTAGAGATGATAGTTTGCTCCTTCTGTTAAGAGGTTTAGAAGAAGACAACTGGTAATAATCTTCAGATAAATGGTATTGCTGCATAGTACGAATCAAAAAGAAAACCGCTTGATTCTGTTCAAGGACAGTTAGAGGACCCAGCTGTCTAGAGGAGCTCTCAGGAATTTTAAGATTGCTTATATACCTTAAAACATAAGCGAATATACGCTGTAATTTCAAAAATGAAGAATGTTTGTTGATCAACTCAATAGTATGGGCGTCGAATTTGTTGACAGAGTTAATAAAAGAACAACTAGTGTTTCGAACTTCTGGAAGGTTTTCTGTAAGAATCATAGTAGATTGTTGCGCATTGTTTGTTGGCCACTGACATTCAGTTTGAACCAACCAAGAAGGTCCATGAAACCAGAAATTTGAGGAAACTAAATTAGAAGGTGTCATCCCGCGTGTTAGTAAATCTGCAGGATTATCCTTAGTATTTACATAATACCATGAAGTGACATTCGACAGTTGCTGAATGTTTGCTACTCTGTTGGCGACAAAGGTCTTTAGTATGTGTGGGGATGAATTGATCCATGATAGGCAAATTGTGGAATCAATCCAGTAGTAAATGTTTTGGAAGTCAAAATGACAAGAAGAAGATACTTTGTCAACAAGTTGTGCCAGTAAAACAGCGCCAGAAAGTTCCAAACGTGGAATAGTTAAAGTTTTGAGTGGAGCGACGCGTGTTTTGGCACAGTACAAGTTTGAAGTAAAATTTCCCAATGTATCACAGCAACGTATGTATATTGATGCACCGTAGGCATGCTGTGATGCATCGCAGAACCCGTGCAATTGTACTGAGGTTGGATTTGGACAAGACACTTGTCGTGGTATTTTGATAGAATTCAGTAAATGTAATTGAGTATAGTATTTAGCCCAAGTTGTGTGTAAGTCAGCAGGTACAGTTTCATCCCATGATATTTTAAGCTTCCAAAGCTCTTGGAGTATAATTTTAGCAGTCACAGTAACTGGTGATAAAAGTCCAAGAGGGTCGAAAATATGTGCAGTTGATGATAAGATTTGCCTTTTTGTAATTCTGAAAGGATGAGTTGAACCACTAATCGAGTATTGTAGGCAATCAACATTGGGGTTCCAAAGTAAACCAAGTGTTTTGGTTTGGTCACCTTCACCAATATGCAAAGGAGTTTGGCTGACATTGGATAATGAAGCTGGATCGTTTGAAATCCATTTTCTCAAAGGAAATCCGTAACTTAAAAGGAGGCTAGTGATTTGTTCCTTAATTTGTATAATCTCATTTACAGTTTCTGCACCTGTTAGGAGGTCGTCAACATAAAAATCGTGTAAAATGATATTAGAAATTTTAGGAAATCTATTCATGTTTCTATAAGCGGCCTCTTGAAGTGATCTAATGGCAAGAAAAGAGGCAGAAGCTAATCCGTATGTCACAGTGTTTAGTGTGTACACTAGAATGTTATCATTAGCGTTGAAACGCCATAGAATCTTTTGCAGGTTACGTTGAGATTCTTGTACCAGTACCTGTCGATACATTTTTGCTACGTCTGCGCTCAACACATAGTTGTGTTTTCTAAAGCGGAGTAATATGTAAAATAAGTTGTCTTGAACGTTTGGACCGACCAACATAAGGTCGTTAAGTGAAACACCGGTCGAGCTTTTAGCTGAACCATCAAAAACGACACGAAGTTTTGTAGTAGTGGAGTCAGCCTTAAGCACACAATGATGTGGAAGAAAGAAACCATTTCTGTCATTTTGATCTTCAGCCAAAGACATGTGTTTAAGATCAATGTATTCCCTGATAAATTGATGATATTGAAATCGCATATCATTGTTCTTAAGTAATTTATGCTCCAATGTCAAGAATCTGTTAGTTGCTGCAGTTTTGGAGTCTCCAAGCTCAGAAATTGATTTTTTGAGTGGAATTGTGACAATAAAACGTCCATCTGCGTCTTGAGTTACATTTTCTTTAAAATGTTGTTCACAATAATTTTCTTCATCAGAAAAAAATTCAGTTTTTGGATACTCTTCTATTTCCCAGAATTTGGAAAGTTGATTGTCCAAGTTGTTTGTTGCAGAACAGTGCAAACTTGTATATGTATTGTTTTTGGTGTGTATAGGTCCAGATATTAACCAACCTAACTTGGTTTTTTGTAATATGGGTAGATTATGTCCCAGTTTAATTTGCCCTATGCTTATTAGATCCCAGAATATATCTGCACCTATCAGTAAGTCAATAGGAGCAGGTTTGTTAAACTCAGAATCAGCCAAAGTAATATTTTCTGGAATGTTTAGTTTGTCAGTACTAATTGGCAAGGATGGCAAGTTACCAGTAATGCGAGTTAAGACAACGCAAGTTATACGTCTTTGAAAATTGTTGATGTTGGATTTGAACAGTAAAGAAATGGAGTATGTAACCTTAGTTTGCAGTTGATTTATTCCGGATATGGAACTATCAATTCGAATTTTAGGCAATTGTAGGATATTTGCAAGTTTGTCAGAAATGAAGTTTATTTGGCTTCCACTATCAAGGAGCACTCTACACTGATGTGGATTGTTGAAGTTGTCAAACACTGTAATGCAAGCAGTTGAAAGGAGTGTCTGAGATGGTGTGGAAAGACTAGATGTCAAGCTGACAGTTTCATTTGAAGTGCTGGGGATCGATCCAATATCGTTTTTTGTGCTATGAGTAGCTTGAATCTGCTCCCTTTCATTATTTTGAAAGTGAAGCAAAGTGTGATGTATTTTTCCACATTTTCTACAACCAGAAGACTTACAGTTTCGTGTTATGTGATTATTGCCTAGGCAGTTGATACATAACCTCAAACGTTTCGCAGTATTTAATTTTTCAACAGGTGTTAATTTCAAAAATGTGTCACAAGTGTACAAACTATGACTAGCATTGCACAAAGTGCAAGTAGTTGCAGTGGTAGAAACAAATGATTTTGTGTGCCTATGTGATTGTTTCAATCCAATGTGTTTCGTGTGATCTTCGTCCTGATGCTGGGTTAATGATGATAAGATACGACAACGTTCTTCCAAAAAGGTGAGTAAATTTTGCAATGTTGGAATGTTCTTTGCATCAGTACGCGATTCCCAGGCTCGTTTTGTTATGTTATCAAATTTATTGGTAACAAGGTATATAATTAAATCATCCCAATGTTCAGTAGGCCGTTGTAGCACCTTTAATGCGTTCAAGTTCTTCTCGATTCCATCGCGAATTGATGTTAAACCATAATAAGATTCTTTTGTCAAAGAAGGGAGATCAAAAAGAGCCTTAATGTGATTTTTAATAAGAATCTGTTTGTCCTCAAAACGATCTTTAAGTAGCTTCCAAGCAATGTCATAATTTGCGTCACACAATTGTAAGGATTTAACTTTGTCTGCTGCTTTTCCTTGTAGGGAAAGCCGCAGGTAGTGAAATTTTTGTACTTTAGACATAGATGAATTTTCATGTATAATGGATGTAAAACTATCTCTAAAGAAAAGCCATTGGTCAAAAGAACCATCAAATGTTGGTAAGTTTAACTGTGGTAAACGAATGTTTGAAAAGTTACTTTCTGCAGAGCTAATGCTATCATTGTTATCGAGTGTATTATTGGTATTAGTAAGAGAAGTAGTTAGTTTTTTAGTAGCTGCAATAATTTTGTAAAAATCGTTTTCAAATTTCTCTCTCTCGCGGGAATGAACCTCACAATTAGCATCAAAATCAGTATCTTGTGCTTCGATTGTTGATTGAGCTGTGTTGAAATCGTCTAGCAGTGTTTCAGCTTTATTTAATCGCTGTTGCAGTTCGTATAAGTCGATTTCATCACATCTCAAATCTTTAATCGCGTTAAAATAGTTACTAAAACGAGTAAGGGTTGCTTTAATTGAAGTACGAGTAACTTTAGCAGAAGACATTTTAAAATTTGTATAATAGTACACCCTGTATATATGTATTTTAGTAAAGACAAATTGAAATATATCGCTATATGTTTAATGAAAAAAATGTTAAAAATGATTATTGAAATGAAGTTAATCTGTGTGATTGTAATAATTACTGTGTCGTTATTCTAAAATGAATGTGAAATTGAGTAAATAAAATTTCAAATTAGAATATGAATAAAATACAGTAAATATTGTCAGATAGAAACGAACGGATACCAGAATAAGAGCACACTAACCTGTTTATGGCGCGTCCAGCTGTTAAGTTAATCCGCTGTCGTCAGTAAAAGGTCCAATGCAGGTATTTTTCTGTTGTTGTATTGAATAAATGTAACTTATCCAATACAAGTAAAAAGCGATTTGTCGATATCAAATCGGGTTGAAAACTAATTTGTTTTAAATCCGGTCGAAGAACCAACTTTTATGTTAATAAATAGTGTAAGTTTTGAGAATTTCACGTTTTTATTATAAAGTTTAAAACAATAGCGATACACAAATATATTTTTAAATTGTCTTTATTCTTCGAAAGCTTGTAGTGGACTGTGTCTTTTCTCGGTGAGTGGGGGAGCAACCCGCACCCCTCGTACCATCGTCTGGAATTCGGAACAGGTCCGGTTTGGCACTAACACTATTCTTTGAAATGTATATTGCATATTTGTGTCTGTAACATTAAATTATACTTCTTTTTAGAGCTGGATAACATTATTACTGATTCCTTGGCAGTGATTTGTGAAGGAATTTGTCAACCTCTCAAAATGAGAGTCGACAAAATACTTAACGTTCCCTCCCAAGCTTCTGTACTTTATTCCGTTGTAAATTTACTCCGCTATTATCGGAAATGCATTTGTAAAGTGAGTATTTACAAAAAAAATAGCTGCCTTTTGTATAATCATGTACTACATGATGTATGATCATGTACTACACTTGTATTTCTATTTTAGTTAGTTAATAAAGGTGTCGTTCAAGAAACATTGACGGGACTTCAAGAACATTCAGAAAAGTGTTTCTTAGCTACTTTACAAAAGCAAGTGGATAGCAAATTGGTGAGAGTAGAAGCCCCTCCGAGAGATTTGTCTCCTACAACTGCCATTACAAACCTACTGGCGTTGCTAAGAGATATTTTGTCAACTGCCAATATGAGCGAAGGTCGAGAAACTGACATGGTCAAGGTAATACTTTAAATACTACTGTTTTTAATTATATTACAAACTTACTAAATACATATCGTGAAAATTGAATGATTATTGATAATATTTCGTTTTTAACAATTTTTTTTAGTATTTATGATACATACACTATGACTGTTCTCATCTAATTAATTTACTTATTATTATTAATATACTTAAGTATTTCTGAAGAAATTATTTTATACTGTTAATATTTACCAATCAAATAACCGTTAATTTGTTTAAACTACTTGCTAAAAGGTACCGATTCCGAACCTTTAGAAAATCCAGTTACGTTTTGTTTGCAAATATTCTAAATAATCCCTTTAAGGTTGATCTGCACCCCCCAAAAAATAAATTCCAAATTCAAAAAATTTGAAAAAATTTGAGAAGGTGTATGAGATGGCTAGAAATGTTTTGACAACTTTTAAGCAAACTTCATGTTTTCGTTTTTAAAAAAACTCAAAAAAACTACTTTTTTCCAAGTATAAAGCGGGAAAACCAGACATATAATTTTGTTAATTTTTTTACAGCATCAAGATATAATTATAAGAAATACTTAGGAATTTTTTTTTTAATTTTTGAATTTACCGTTTTGTCTCAGTAGGAAAAAATAGTATGTTTTTGCTTATATTAAAGCTTCCGGTAAGAAACCAAAAATTTTTTTAATAACAACATATATAAAACTGTAAAAGTGGAAAATATTTGCAATAAAACGTTAAATATTTTTTCCTAAACATATGAAAAATCTCGTTAAACAAGAATTATGTCTTGAACCGCCGCCTTCAAATGTGTAATATAGGGAGATGGCTCCATCTGAAACAGTGGTAGTATTTATCATCGATAGATAGCATTACGTTCGGCTTCGAAACGCTTCAAACGAAACGACATAGTAACAGGGTTGCCATATCAATTAGTTTGTACAACAATTTGGCAGAATATAACAAAACTTAGTAGGAATGTTATCGGTTTGAATTTTAAACTGGTCATGCTGAAACTTACAGACTTACAGAATAGTAGATACTGCAACTTTTATTTTGAAAGTATGATATCATAAAATTTACACTCTATAAGTATTATATCTATAAAAAACTTATTTAGTTTTAAAAACCTATTTAGGCGTTTTTAGTAAATTATTTTAGTATTTATAAACAATAGTGTTCCTTGCATAACGGCCATTAAAGGTTAAATTTGCAGATAATGATAGTCCATTATTTATGTTGCGCAATAATATGAGGTTGTTAGGAACCAAATTTTCTAGAATTCAATTGAAGGATGACTTAACTAAATATCAAATAAACTATTTGAATAAAGTGCGAGAGGAACTGGAAAAACGTAATCTACTTAACAAGGAACTAACAATAAAGTATATTAATAAAGTTCTAACTATTATTAGTACAAACCAACAAAATTCCGCAAAAAAAACAAATATAGTTGACAACAATAAATATTTTTTAGACTAATATTGCTTCTTTACATGCTAAGTTTTCTGACTTTTTGTCAAACAATAAGCTGGTCTACTCAAACACCAAAAGTAGTTAGTAAAGCGAACTCTGCTTTATTGTTTATCACAAAAGCTTTCATAGAATATCTGCAGACATGTTTTTGAAATTCTACAAAAGTTATGTCAGACCTGACCTAGAATTTGCAGTGTCAGTTTGGTCACCTCATTTGCAAAAAGACATTAATTTATCAGAAGGAGTACAACTAAGAGGGACCTAGCTACCTTTTAATTATGGAAGATTAGACTATGAAACCCGACTAAGAAAGCTCAAGTTGTCTCCATTAACTGTTAGACGAGAAAGATATGATGTCATATCTACTTATATAATTCTTAGTGGGGATTTTTGTAGGGGGTGGTAGACTAAGAGGTCATAACTATAAATTGAAAAAGAAGTATTTTAAAACCAACTTAAGGCAAACCTTTTTAGTTAACCGAGTTTTTGATAAATTAAACGGTTTAAGTGATGACATAGTAGAAGCTACTAGTTTAAATAGTTTCAAAAACAAGTTTGATGAAAACGAATAAAATATTGTACCTAGTCTTATGTTAATTATATTGGTTGTATTTTTTTTCTTTTGAAAACTTATGTACACTTGGTAATATTTATATTTTTGTAATTTGCTATTGCCAGAACTTTTTGTAAGTACTAATTCTTTTAAAAATTATTTTTATTTTTACCTTGTGAGAAAATTTGATTTATATTATATTATTTAGTTTAGTACATACAAATATTTTGTAATTTGGGCCACATAAGCTCTGCTTTGGCTCAATATCATTATATAATAATAATAATAATAATAATACTCATAGAACCTCAACAGAAAGGATGCGCTAAGGGCTCCATGGGTTGCAAAGAACAACTTATCGACTCAGTCATTTCTAACCAGGCATACACCAAAAAAAAAGGAATCTCTTCACTGCCTTTATTGACAATGAGAAAGACTTTGACTCAGTGCCGCATGAATGGCTGGTAGATATATTAAAAATATATAAAGTCGGTGATAATATAGTAACCTTCTTAAGACATATAATGACAGACTGGAAGACTAAAATTCACCTCCAAGTACCTGGTGAAAAAAATATCGAAACGGAAAATATCGCAATTAACCTCGGCCTATTCCAAGGAGACTCGCTGAGTCCCTTGTGGTTCTGTCTAGCGATGAACCCACTATCCCAGCTATTGAACTCCAGTGACTCAGGTTTCAGCATTAAAAACAACAACACTGTAGTGAGGAAGCTTAATCATCTGTTGTATATGGATGATTTGAAACTCATGGCTTCCACTCGAAATCACTTAGATCAAATGCTAAAAACTATAGAACATTTTTCAAATGATATCAGTATGCACTCTGGGTTAGACAAATGTCGTGTACTAAATATAGTCAAGGGAAAGGTTCAGCCCGGCGGATTCGATATGCAAAATGGCCAAAACATCGAGGCTGTGGGCGAAAATGTATAAATATCTTGGAGTAAAACAGCTACTCCGCTCACATCTTAATAGTAAAAATTTGTTTAAGGCATTAAACAACTACGCATTTTCCGCGCTTAGCTATTCATTTGGGATTATTTAATGGACTAAAACGGATATAGAAACTCTTCAGAGAAAAGTACGAACACACCTCACAAAGGCACAAAAACACCATCCTCGAAGTGCAGTAGAAAGAACGACATGACCGCGATATTTAGGAGGACGAGGACTTATTGATATAAGCGAGCAATTAGATAAACAGATTACTAATTTAAGAACTTATTTTCAGGTGCAGGCGGAGACATCTACTGTTCATCGCGCGATTTGCGCAGTAGATGACACAACACCGATCAACCTGAGGGAACAAGAAATGCGCATAAACCATCTAACTAAAAAAGAAAAAATGCGCATCTGGATGGGTAAACCTCTGCACGGGCGACATCCGAATGAAGTCAGTCAAGACTATGTCGACAATATAGCGTCGAACTATTGGCTGACATCAGGAAAGATGTTTCCTGAAACAGAAGGTTTATTACTCGCCATTCAGGATCAGGTTGTACCAACCAAAAATTACCTGAAATATATCGTCAAAAACCCTCAGGTCCAAAACAACAAATGCCGATATTGTTGTCAAGCCCAAGAAACTATCCAACATCTTAGCGGAGGCTGCCAGGCATTTGCTTCAACTGAATATAAGGAACGGCATGACTCAGTAGCGAAGATCCCCATCAAGAGATAGCTTTTAAACTGGGATTTCTACAAACAAACCATCTCCCATATTACCAATACGTTCCTTAGAGTATGATTGAGAATGACAACTACAAGCTATACTGGGATCGCACTGTGCTCACAGACCAAACTGTAGCACATAATAGACCAGATCTCGTGCTATTAATAAACTAACAAGACAAACAACTCTAATCGATGTGGCGATACCTAACAACAATAATCTGCATGTTAAGTACAATGAAAAGATCTCCAAGTACAGAGATCTGGAAATACAAATAAGAAGACAATGGAGAATGAAAAGTACCCAGACGATACCTATTATTCTTTCTACCACTGGAGTCATTCCGAAAAACCTCCTAGAAACATAAAAAAGCTGGGTCTAAATGAACATCTATATAAGTTCATGCAGAAAGCTGTGCTACTTTCCACGTCGAGATGCGTGCGAAAATTTTTAGGAGATACACCGACGTACCAAGTCACCTAGGACTCGATAACATGGAAAAAGTCACACCAGAGCTCAATCCTTTTGATACCGTAGGTATTTGGGATGAGTGAATTTTCCCCTTGGAGGCAGTATGAGCCGTATGGCTAAATCTGGATACTCATGTTATTCGTGTTATTCCCAAAAATCACCTAGCGAACATAAAACAGCTGGATCTAAATGAACATCTTTATAATGCCATACATAAAGCTGTACTCCTCGCGACGTCCAGATGTCTACGAAAATTTTTGGAGATACTCCAGCATACCAAGTCACCTAGGGCTCAATAATATAGAAAGAGTCCCACCAGAGCTCAATCCTTTTGATACCGTAGGTATCTGGGATGAGTGAATTGTCCTCTTAGAGGGAGTGTGAGCCGTATGGCTAAATCTGGATAATACTCAAAAGCAAATTTAATTCCAAGCACATAGTAAAAGCAATAAACACATACGCAATAACACCTTTCACATAGTCCTCATTTGGCGTTATAAAATTGTCGAATACGGAAACTGAAGAACTAAATGGACCAAATAGAACCGTAATAACTAAATACGCATCAACCACTCCAAATCATACATTCAACGTATGACCACCAACAGGGCCGGATTAAGGGTACGATGGGCCCTAGGCTAAAAGCGACTAAGCCCCCCCCCCCCCTTCCTTGCTAGGTCTTGTTTTCTCTCACATTTTTAAAGAAAGTCAAAATAGTTGTTTTTTAAATATATTTTATATGAAAAAACTAAGAAATACCATTTTTATAGGTAAAGAAAAAAATATGTAGGTACCAAACAAAGGAACATTTTCAATGAAAACAAAAAAAA